GGTTGTAACAATTGAGAGTTGGATGGTTTCTGGATAACCATCGAACCATTACAGAAAGTCGGCATTGTAGCCGTAGGTTTCAAAACACAGTTTGTTTCTTCCTCAGTCTGAGGTACAAGATGAGAGAGGGATGAATCACCAACCGCAAAAACATTAAGCCTCACAAAGAGTGAAGGTGATCTGGGACTAAGGAATTTCTCGGTTTGGAACAAGGTGCTGAATCTGAAGCTAATCTGGCTCTTATTTGCTGGTAGTGGCTCATTATGGGTGGCATGGAATAAGGAACATAGGTTGAAACGAGCTACTTTCTGGTCATGTGAAGAAAAATCAACCTCCTCGTGGGTCTGGAAATTCATGTTGCAGCTTCGACCATTAGCAAAATGCTTCTTGAGATGCTCTCTAGGTGATGGAAGAAATTGCAGTTTCTGGTTCAATCATTGGTCGACTCTTGGTCAATTGTGGAATGTGCTAGGTGAGGAGGGTCCGAGACCAATGGGGATTCCTATGAATAGCAAAGTGTCAGAGGCTACCTCCGGTAATGGCTGGTTTTTACCAGGACATAGAACCAGAAACAAAAAACTTAAAGAAGTTCAAACCATGCTATTAATGACATCTCCGCCGGATGACTCAAAGGGTGAGGATTCATACTATTGGCAAACGGGTCATTCCGCCTTGTTACCATTCTCAAACTCGGCTACTTGGGACTGTCTAAGACCCTCTCGTCCCCGGGTTCAGTGGGAAAAGGTGGTTTGGTTCAAGGGCCATGTTCCAAAACACGTATTCACATTCTGGGTTTGTCAAAGAAACAGGCTACCGGTGTGAGATAGGTTGCTACGGTGGGGTTTAAGCACTACGAGACTTTGCTGTAACTGCAGCCTCAGTCCTGAAACAAGAGATCACTTGCTTCTTTCTTGTGTTTTCTCTAAACAGGTGTGGAACAGAGTCTTATTAAGGCTAGGACACTCGACCAATACTCTACTTGGATGGTCATCGCTCAACTCCTGGCTCTCTTCGAGTTCATCTAAGGCCCCGGAGATTTTAAAGCGACTAGTTGCACAAGCAGCGATCTTCTTCCTATGGAGGGAACGCAACACTCGCCTACACATGGGAACCGCATCAACACCAGACAGAATTTTCAAGGCAATTGATCAGGCTATCCGAGACATCCTTTTGGCTCGGTATAGAAGAAAACCATCCGCATTAGTATCCATTTGGTTTACTTTTAGCTAGATAAGTATTTCTAAACAAAGATGTTTTTTTTTAGCTTTTTTACAATTTTTTTTGGGTTGAAAACAAACAATATGCTATGTCTAGCATTGTAAGGAAACGATCCGTTTTTTGATTTATGATTCACATTTTATCAAAAAAAAAAACATTAAGCCTCTTCTTTGCCGAAGAATTAGTTCGGTTAACATTCCTCTTTTTTAAATTAGCACCTATGAGAGGGCTCTCCACATTTCCGTCCTGGGGTTTGGTATGTGCTTTTTTCTTGGCAGGCAGAAGCATGGTAACTGTTCTCTTTGGCTCTATGCGGCGACCTAGTCATGTTGCTATAGGGATTTGAGAGCCCGATGATCTTTGACTGACTGGAAGATCTGGAATAGTGGCTTCTGAAGAAGCGATGAGCTGAGAATTTTAGTTGTCCCCGATCCCTCTCTTTGCCTTGTGTTATAGTGTAGAGGGACATCTTGTAACACTTCAGAGGGAGAGACCCGTTCCTGGTTTCGAGTCTCTGACGTCCTCAGTTGAACTCCATGTTGGTAGAGATAATCTTTCTAAAACCGGCCTCTTTGAGATAGATTTTGAGTTTGTGGATCTATCTTTTTCTTCTGGATGGCATAATCTCCCAAGGACTGGTCTTTTTGAGAAACTCTTAGAGTTACCAGAACATCATGAAGATACATGTGAGATATGTTACGATGAACATAAGGTTTTTCATCTCTGGTTTGGGTATTCTGTATTGACCGGGTTACGTTTCGAGGTGACTCTACTTGAGAGTAAGTTCTATGCTCCTGTCTTGGTTCCATTCTTCTATCAGTCCGATAAATATCAATTCCTCGTATGGTTCTTCTACTTGAGTCCTCCACCAGGTGTTCTCTATTCTCCACAAGCATTTCTGAAACTTTCCACCGACTCTGTTCTTTTTCTCTATGGTTTGACCTATCATCATACCGATGAAAATTGGAGATAGTACCATTTACCTTATGAGCCCCTGTTCTGTGATCTCTTTGGGCATCCCAAGTTTCATGTCTTTGTTTATTGGATCTATCCCAATGCGGTGGAGAAACAGAGATCTTTGAGGTGAACGGCTTCGGGATCTTTTTGCTCGGTAGTAATTTAGGGCTTGGTCTCCATTGTGATCCAACTGATGATTGATTCTTAGAGTTCCCCTTCTCCTTTTATCTTCCTCTAAGCCGGAGATAGTGTTTTACTGGTTTATCTCCATGCTTGAAGGGAAGAGCGTTTATCCTTTGAAACTTTAGGGTAATCTTTTTCTTCGTACGTAAGAGCAAAGCAAACAAAACAATGTTTTTCAAGATGCTCGTAGTCGAATTCAACCGGAGCTTTTTCTCCTCCCGTCTTGAAGTGTACATAATCCTTCATAACAAGGGGCTTGTAGGCTTGAAGGCCGACTTGAATACGTCTCTCCTTGGTATCTTGGTCCAAGTATCTCCCTAAGGAGCTCCCTATTGCTTTAAGATTGTTGTAGGTCCCAAAGTGAGTTGGTAGATCATTGATCTTAATCCAAAAAGGAATTTCACTTGGGAAAGATACAGCCGTGATGGTTCCTATCTCTGCAGGACCAGCATCCATCTTTTGTGGTGGAAAGGAGCACGTCGCAGTACCGAGTTCAAATCTTCTTCTAATTGGAAACGGAACTGGAAACGTTCACGACCTAGAACTTTTCCTTAGACTCTTCCTGACAGTCCCCAAATTTGGGGGAAGAAACTGATGACCGCCGACGGGCTTTGATTTGTCAGGTGGAGAACTCGACCTATGAAGGTTAGCTTGTTCTCCTCGATAAGATCTTCGTTTTCTCCATCCGGAAAGAGAATAGGAGGGTTCTAGATCCATTTACTAGAGCCTGCTACGGCCTTACCCTTCTCTTCTTTTGTATAGCAATGATTTGACATCGCCTTGTACAGGAGTATGCGGGGAGACAAACGGTAGAATAGGAGTAGAATCGATCAAAAAACGTAAGCAAAACGTAATAGAAACACGACAAAAACAACTGCACGACGCAGTAACTGGAATTCACAAGGTTTATATGCCTCACGGAGATAGATCTTTTGAAAAAATCAAGCGAGAAGACGGTAATCGCAGAGCAAAAACCCTTAAAAAATCGTCTCTTTTTTTAGCTTAAAATATGTGTTTAAATAAAAGTCAAGTTTCCTTTAGAAACTTGCAATTTTGTAATGGAATTTACAACATTAAGTTTTTCTTTGCATTTGATTCAATTTGTACTACCAAATCTTCATAGACATTTTTCGAAAATAAATTTCTTTTTTTTGCCCCAATTCTCCCAATCTTCCACACCAAATTTTATGGGGAAAGTCATGTCATGGAATTTCTGAATCGAATGTCTTAAACAAGCCGTACAACAATGGTTAAAGAGTTTTGAAATCAAAACATTAGTTCATAAAAAATTGTCATAATTCCAAAACTTATTTTAACTTAATCAAAACGATTTAGATTAAAAAAATAAGACATAGAGTTGTGAAATTTAAGGTTTGGATCGAGTA